CCTCAGTCAAAGCTTAAAGCTCTTCATCAAGCTCAGTATATAAAACACGACTGAACACTTTCTGAACAAAACCTGCTGTATGATATTTACTTCACCGTAGCTTAGGTGTTCTGACCGGTTGCTATGGTGTTGCCAGGGAGTTCTTGGTTATTGCTAGGAAATTCTGTGATGTTGCTATGGTGTTGCAAAGGAGTTCTGAGTTGTTGCTAGGCTGTTGCTAGGGAGTTCTGTGTTGTTGTTGTTGTTGTTGTTCAGGTGTTGTCAGGGAGTTTTGGGTTGTTGCTAGAAAGATCTGGGTTGTTGCTAGGGTGTTTCTAGGAAGTTCTGGGTTGTTGCTAGGGAGTTCTGGGCTATTGCTAGGGCGTTTATAGGAAGTTCTGGGTTGTTGTTTAGGTGTTACTAAGGAGTTCTGGGCTGTTGCTAGGGTGTTGCTAGGAAGTTCTTGGTTGTTCTTAGGGCATTGCTAGACAGTTCTTGGTTGTTGTCCAGGTGTTGCTAGGGAGATTTGGGTTGTTGCTAGGGTATTTCTAGGAAGTTCTGGGTTGTTACTAGGGTGTTTCTAGGAAGTTCTGGGTTGTTGCTAGGGCGTTTCTAGGAAGTTCTGGGTTGTTGTCCAGGTGTTACTAGGGAGTTCTAGAAACTATTCTATTCGTTGCAAGGGTGTTACCAGTGAGTTTTGGGTTGTTGCTATGGTGTCGCAAAGGAGTTTTGGGTTGTTGCTAGGGAGTTCTGTGTTGTTGTTGTTGTTCAGGTGTTGCCAGGGAGTTTTGGGTTGTTTCTAGGAAGTTCCCGGGTTGTTATTCAGGTGTTCCTAGGGAGTTCTTGGCTGCTGCTAGGGCATTTCTAAGAAGTTCTGGGTTGTTGCTAGGGAGTTCTTTGTGGTTGCTAGGGTATTCATTCCTGTAGCTCAAACAGTAGAACACAGGTTTGATTCACAGGAAATGCATAAACTGATAAAATGTTTACTCTGAATGCAATGTAATTCTCTTTGAATAAAAACATCAGCTTAATTGCAAATGAAAATCTGTTTAGAGTGGTTGCTTAGGTCTTAGTAAACACGACAAGGTAACGCGGGGTTAGTTGTAACACACGTGGTTTAAATATTTCCACACATGCTAGCATAACAAAATTTACAGTATTTACTAGTTACCATATCAACATTATATAGAGAAAAAAGTGCGCCAAAATTCAAACGTTGTAACACTGTGTTACAATGTGCCCCACTATTATTAAACTATGCTATTCTGTGACATTAGTGATGTAATTTACACTATTTACTTTAATGAATTTTAATGAGAAACAGGTGAATAAAGACTGACAGTCAATGTTTAATGTTCAGAAATTATTATTTCAAAACATGTAAAGCATTTTGGCTCGTTTATGTTGGCCGTCCCATGCCTGTTTGCAATGTGTTCATTGTCAAACTCCAAAATCAGATTATTTTTAATTTTTAAAAAATGCCATTATTTTATTTGAAAAAAAAAAAAAAATTTTATTGTATCGACAAAATGTTTTAGTTTGTCTTGTATATTTTTTTTTCCTGAGATCGGATAACGTTTTAAGCTGTCATACAGTCATGTTACAACATGCCCCTCAGATGTTACAATGTACCCCACCTACGGGGCATGTTGTCACAGTTCACTTCCATTTTTTGAGGATAAATAAAGAAAAACGTGTATACTGTAATTATGAAACAACGCGACATATTTGTACTAGACAAGTATGAAATTACTGTGGATAAAAAATTCTGAACCCCATGTGGATTTACACAAACAGACAAAGTCAAAAAGTGTTACAATGTGCCCCGCTCTCCCCTAATTATGCAGACATGGTCACGGGTGTACAGTATCTGTCTGAAGAGAGCTGTTTGCTGTGCTTATAAAATCTAACGAGCATTATAAGATTATAAATTAGGTGTCCTGAATGAAGACTACGGTTGAGTGTGTGTTGTGTTAACGCAGTGTGATTTATTCATGAGAATTTACCATTGCTGGCTTTGACTGCACAGCAAAAATAAAGAAACCAAAATCCAAACCTGCTCAGAGTTGCGTGAAGTCTGACAGACAAAAACCGCGAGTGTCTCTGAGGAGCCCAGGACAGCAGGAGAGGAGCTTTCAGACGTACAACTCATCTTTAACTATTCATATTCTCATCTGTCTGACCTGGCAAAGAGCTTGTGTCAAAACCAAACCCATGTTGTTATGGCACTCCGGTCCAGTCTTCATGTTCTGCTCTGAAAACACTTCAGTGAAATGAAGATATAAGAGAAAGATCACTGTGGTTAAAGCAGAATTTCAGGCCGAGATTATGATTGAGGAAGCTTTTAGCGTAGTTTATGATCAGTGCAGACACAACTCAATTTACTATCAGCACAAGTACAATACAAGCACGTGCATAATTGCGATCGATGCGGCTCTAATCGATATGTAATGGATTGTCTGGAAGGTGCTGTAGCAGATGGACATGATTTAAAACACGCTGACATGCTGAAGGTCTCGATGGGATGCTTTGATGAAGTGCCCATTTGGACCCTCACAGGCCTGTTTAGCTGCAGATCTGATCGATACGCAGCAAAGCAACTTTTGAGATGCAGGATGATTTGCAGCGTTATGGAACGTTACATGCGGCACCGTTCATGTGTGTTTCTAGTTTCAGCATCAGGCTGAGATTTTATGAAATAACGCACTGTTAGGAGACAAACCAAGCTGTACGACTCTATCAAGGGATGATGCTGCAAGCATGAACCCATGTCTTTCCAGACTAGTTGCAATATTTGCAATATTTCAAATAAGAACCATGAAATATGCATCCCATAATCACAGTCATTTCTTCACTAATGTCTCCTCCACCCGTCTCTCTCTCTCTCTCTCCCTGCGGGGAAACCCTCTGTCTGTGACACACACATTATACAGCAGAAGAGAAGGAGACGGAAGAGGATGATGATGATTCTTATCAAATATGCACAGACTGAAGAGAGCTGCACTCAGTCACCATCTTGAGAGGATGTGCAAAACACACGCACACACACACACACACACACACACACGCACACACACACACACACACACACACTCACTCAGTGCTGACCTAGTTTTTAGGGATATGTGGCGAGACCAGTAGAATATCAAATGCTGTTTTCCCTCTGGCATCCGTTTCATTTGGATAAACACTGGTCTCATGCCTCAGACTATTCATGTGTAATGATGTTAATAAAGCTTCATCAGCACCATGAAATTTAAGAGAAGTAATGGAGAAGTTCATTTCTGTCACTGTACAATTATCATAGCTTCATAGCTTCTTTAGGAACCAGCATTGTTTTTGTTCCATTGTTCTCAATTATTTTAAAAAGGTCCATATTAAATGTCATAATTCAATGGAGAAATCAATGGTGCAGATGCCCCTTCACGAAAAGTTTAATTTCTTTCACTGCTCTTCTTATTCTTTTACACTGTTTTATTTCTTCTTATTATTTTTTAATAGGAACCAGTACTGTTTTTGTTCCATTTTTTCCCCCAACATTTGAACATGATCAAGTTATTAAATATTAATTGTTTTAATTCAATGGCAACGTGTCAGAAAGGAGGCCCATCATATATATATTTTTTTTATTATTTAAAAGAATAATTATTTAGCACAAATTTAGTTTTTGCTTCTAGTGAAACTGTGCTTCCTTTTTTTGTGATTTTATTCTGGACTGATTTTTAGACGTTTATAAATCATAATTTGCTTTTCAGTGTTGTTTAGGGATGTGTTGGTTGGTTTCTTTACTTAGATCAGAACAAAAAAGAATGAGCACGCTACTTGATTATGAATCTTTTAATGTTGCTTGCTGAATTTCACATTCATCGTAATAAATTCAGTCAGCAAAGCATTATTTAGTGTTTTTGAAAAATAAATATAGCAATACATCCAAGCTATTTCATCTTGAAGTTAATAAACCTGTGCTACCTAACAAATATTTCAATATTCTTTATTTTATAACCACTGCATTCTCTATCCTATCTATAGATTAAGTCTGTACATCTGCTTGTGTTCTTTAGTTTATGTTATGAAACCTTGGCAATCAATAAATGAACAACAAATCAGCAGACAGAAAAGACAGCTGATAATATTTCTAAGTTCTATTAACAATGAAAACAATCACAGAAATTACACAACATATTATGAAATATGAGGAAGTATTGGTATAACTGTTTTTTTAATGTGTGTTGTATTGTTCTGTATTGTGTGTCTCTTGCTAATGGACCTAGAGTCTGGACTAAAGTTGAATAATAATAATAATAATAATAATAATAATAATAATAATAGTATATATAAAGTCAGAAAATGAATGCTTACCATATTAATCCATGTATGGTTTATGTATTCATTTATTACTACTTTTACTTTTAAAAACAGGCTATATATATATATATATTTAAAATTGTATTGATTTTTATTCTTTCCCTCTTGTATTAGCTTCGTTTGCTACTAATAAGGTTTAATGTGGATGCTCTTCAGTTTTTCCTGAATTTTTTTTTTGTACAATTTAATATAATTTCCTTTAAAAAAAACATGGTACATGACCAAAAACAAGGTTTTATCATGGTATTTTTGTCAGTGTGGTTATTTACTTGTTATAGGCCGATATTGGTCAGGTGATGTTTGTTATCAACGTTACAAATATATAGCTGTTACAATGTTTATTTAAAATTGTATTGGTTTTACTTTTATTAATTTGTATTTCCCCTCTTGTATTAGCTTCGTTTGTTACTTATAACGTTTAATGTCGATGCTCTTCAGTGTTTTCCTTAAATTCGTTGTACAATTTAATATCAGTTCCTTTAAAAACAAGAGCAAAAAAAAAACTAAAACATGTTACATGTTCAAAAACAAGGTTTTAACATGGCACTTTAGTCAATGTGGTTATTTACTTTGATGTAGGCCGATATTTGTCATCGCTGTTACAATGTAACATAAGTGGAACGCAGACAGACATGAAGAAGATGAGAGCAGCTTCCTGCAGGATGTGAGCGCGTTGCGCTGTCTGGCCCCGCCCAGGAGGAGGGACTTCAGACCGGAGACCGAGCTCTCCAGCGTCCGCCGCTTCATCAGCGCACTTTCCCGAGATTAACGTTTGGAATATAACGGCGTTCCGCACGCGGTAAGTAAGTAACACGTACACGTCACCGGCGGATTCTGCCGCTACAACGCGTTTCCCGGGAATCCGCTCAAACTGTTAGAGAACACAGCGCGGTATGTCGCGTCTTCGGCGGCTGTCGGAGTCACACGGGAGCGAGAGGAAAGCAACTTTCTGAACGCTTGTGTCCGTTAAACGGCTCGGTTCGCTCGCGTACTTTCTACTGCGGCATTTCCAGGCGCTGCGGCTTCGGCTGTGTTTCTGTGCGAGTGTGTTTGCTCGGAGTTGTTGGGGTGATGTTGTCTGTCTGTGTGAGTATCGATCTGTGATAAATCAATAAATCGATGCGCGGAACGCGGGAGCGTTATTTGTCCTCGATGCGTTCAGACGCGAATCGGAACGTCGAACTGTAGGCTACCATAATTGTGACCCTGGAGCACAAAACCAGTCATAAGGGTCCATTTTTTGAAATTGAGATTTATGCATAATCTGAAAGCTGAATAAATAAGCGTTCCATTGATGTGTGGTTTGTTAGGACAGGACAATATTTGGCAAATCTGTAATCTGAGACTGCAAAAAAAAAAAAAAAAAATCTAAATATTGAGAAAATCATCTTTAAAGTTGTCCAAATGAAGTTCTTAGCAATGCATATTACTAATCAAAAATGAAGTTTTGATATATTTACAGTAGGACATTTACAAAATATCTTCATGGAACATGATCTTTACTTAATATCCTAATGATTTTTGGCATAAAAGAAAAATGTATAATTTTGACCCATACAATGTATTGTTGGCTATTGCTACAAATATACCCCAGCGACTTAACACTGCTTTTGTGCTCCAGAGTCACATTTATCGTCATATTTGGCTTTTGTTGCAGATAATACTTGTGTTGTTAATAATAGCTACTAATGTGGTCTTATTTCTGGTGTTTGATATTGTATTTGTATATCGTTCAGAACTCGATATTTTCATCACATCCTGTGTTTAGTTTCCATATAAAACATCTGTGGAATGTAAACAAAGTTAAAAGTAGAGTCTCCGTGGTAATACCGTGGTATTTTGGTATTGACATGAATTACCATGTTAATGATATTTACAGTGTACCTCAAAGAATGCCTTGTTTTTACCAGGGTAAATGACCCAAAACTGTGGGTTTTTTACTGGTGAAAGAGACTCTTGATGTTCTTCAGCTCAGCTAAAATCACTCATGATTTATGGCGTCCAAACAAATCAGCATCAGAACAGTGTGTTTATCGTTTGCATGAGCCGCAGTTCCTTTTCCTCGTACAGAGAATGGCTTCAGGTTTTGTGATATTTGACTTTTTTAATATTGACATGCCTGTCGCACAGTTAACCTCACTCAAGAATGTTCCTCATTTTAAATCGAGATGATCAGGATTATACAGCGCTGTCCTTTAAACAGCCAGGCTTCAGTGGCATTTGTGCTTCTGCTTTGATCAGGTGCATTAGTGAGAGTTTTTGCGACCTTTAAACTGGCTTTATGAAGTGTTCTGGTACGTGTGTGCTGGAGGAAGAGTTCTGTTCTGCCTGTCTGATCCGCTTGACAGTTTACCTGCGGCGCTGTCGTGCATGCACACATTCACACTGACAGTCGTCAGACAGATGCATTTTATCTACTCTGCTGCAGACAGCGCCTCATTTTAAAGTCAGCATGAAATATAAATTCACAATGCATCGATGCATATTTTTCATTTTTACTTTTTTTTATATCCTATTTTTATTTCTGTGAAATGACAGATTCTCTCTGGTGACATCTGCCAATCATTTGTTTACTAAGACCCCGCCCCTTTCTTACAATCAGCTTCAAGCTCACATTAAGCTCCGCCTCCGGCTTCGAGAGCGACGCCCCCACATCTCAACATCCAATCAACAACGGATGCACAGATGTACGTGTCGGTGCAAAAGATTTGTCGCTCGTTCCGTTTCATTACGACTTTAATTGCTAAAACCCGTTCAGACCTACATGAATGTTTGTCTAATTTTTGCATGCGATTTTCTCAATACGTAAAAAAGGGAAATGGTCTAAACAGTAATGCACAATTACTGTCTGACAGTAGAAGAAACGTTTAGAAAAGCAGAAATACCAAGTTACTCCAAGACACAAAATGCTACGTAACTTTGCGTTACTGACGTCCACTCGTTACGAAGAGTCAAACAGTATTTGCGTGTTTTCAAACACGTAATTCAGATTTTTGTATTCGCTACATGTTTATCAAACTTAGTAAAATACTAAATACAGCGCCACCAGGTTGTGGTTTCATGTAACAGCAGCATTTCTGAGCATGTGACCAAAGGTGGCAATCCTATTGGTCGGCTAGTTTTCTTTGCAGTGTGATGGAAAGCAATTGCATCTCCTCTTTGTAAAAATATGTCGCATTGACAGCATGCATATGTTCGCGTCGGTCTAAACGGATGCATTAACAGCCATTCATTCAAATTAAAATGTTTATCGCACTGAATATCTGTCTTGGTGTGAACAGGCCGTTAGTTCGTTTCTCACTCTGTTATTATTAGCTATAAACGGTTGCCATGCGAAAGTGTCGAGACCGTTACTTATATCCCACGATGATCCTCTGATGTTGTTGTGTGTGTGTTTTGATGTGGTGTTATCATGTGAGTTTGTGCTGTTGAGTAATTCCAGCAGCAGAAATGAGATTGTTACTCATGTAATATTAACAGGCTGGGTAAAACAGATGACGTCTTTATTAATTAATATGCTCCGCACATGGTGATTGACATCAAAAGCTGTTTTCTGAGCAGTGCGGCGTCTCTGGATTTTCACAAACACCTGCAGCTGTGTAATCCATGCGCTGCGTTTGCTGCAGATGTTGAGTTGAACAGTGACCCCGGTTTACATCGCGAGTTTAATCTGGGCAGAGACCTGTTTACAGCGCGCTTTACAGTTTAACGTGGGTGCATGATATTAAAACACTGTGTGTGTGTATCGGTGCATGAATGCATCTGCTGCAGGTTTACAGATGCAGTGCTGCAGCAAGTTTTTTGCAATGCAACACAAATTTTAGTGATTGCAAAAGGCTTGTTTTGTTATTTTTGTGACAACTTGCATTTGCAATAAACTTCGCTCTGAAGAGCAAGTGGCACACAAATCTCCTTTTTTGCTGAGCCACGACTTAGTTTTTCCTTTTCCAGGCAAACATTGCCCACATCAGCACAAGGGCTTTTTAGTTCTATGTGTCAAAAGGATGTCAGAACGCTGTTAGTCGTGACCAAAGTCTGATGTAGGAGGTGGTTGGTGACTTTTACCCATCAGTCTGTGTTTACATATGTTTCTGCCCCATGTGAGAGCTATTAATGAGCCTCTCAGCCAATCAGATACAGCCTTACATCCTGTACAGGAAGTGACCTCACGGGCCGGGCTGGTAACTGTGTGTGTGAGAAAGAAGGAGACTTTGCATTAGACTTTTCCTTTTATTGTTGTTCGGTGAACATGAGCCAAAACACACAAGTGCTTCAGAGATTGCATGCATTTCCCAGTTTTTGCTGCAGTTACACGAAATAATCAATGTCAGCGTTGACTTTTTAATGCAGACTAACCAGGTATCATGTTGACTTTAGTCAGAAACATAATGTGAGACATGTGCCAGTACTACAGCTTTACTTAATGTAAACGGTTCATCATAATTTTTACTACCACCCTCATATTGCATCGAGGACGAATGTCATTAGTTATGTAATTCTGATAAGGACACACGAGTCAGATCTCATGAGGTTTAAGGTTCATCATTTTCTTCATGCTGGTATTTCACAAACTCCGCAAGTTCATATGTTTCATTTTTTAAAAAAGGTTTTAATGTGGTAATGTTTAATCAGAATATCGTAACCGGATCTTCTTCTCTCTGGTGATGTATGCAGGATTTCTCCAATCATTTCATGCTCTTAAACTGAGCTTACGCTCATCTGCATAAATTTTTTTGAGAGCCACGCCCATATCTGAACATCCAATCAACAACTGATGCACAGAACCAAGCCCCGCCCAACATTGTTTCTTTTTTGATAATCTGTTACACTCAGATCCACGCTAGTTCAGTTTTATTGCGACTTTAATAAGGCATTAAAGCAGCTTGTGATTGGCTGTTGATTTACTGTAACATTCTATTACGGAACGTTATGTTTGCCCTCAAAATGACAAGTGTGAGACGTTGCTTTGTGCAGGGTTAAAACACGATAAACAGTGTGAAGATCCTGATGATGACGAGACTGTGAGATTCTTTTGCTGTAACCGTGACGGTGTAAATCTCAAGTGTGGCTTTGGTTTCTGAAGTTTCATTTTGAGATGCTTCAGAACAGTCAGATATTTTGAGAGCTTCGTTCTCGCAGCCTTTTCTTGTGCCTTCCTGTACCAGGCGGCTTCTCTGGAGGAGTGTGTGTGTGTGTGTGTGTGTGTGTGTGTGTGTGTGTGTGTGTGGGTGTGTG